TGTCCCATTCGTACACCAACTACAGACACGTGCAGAAACTGTGGAACGATGGCCATGAGATAGCGATTAACTCTATCACGTGAGTATGAAAATATGTAAAGGTAGTAACAAAGGCAAAGATATCCTCAATGTGTACTTGTAGCTTACTTATTATCTAAAGAATACCTACGGACTAACAACCACAGTTATCTCTACCACTCGCTTACTACATAAAGAATTGGAATAGGTCTTATTCAATTAGTAGAAACCTACTTACATAAAGGCTTACAACCTAAGGAGGCAATTCTTTCATTCGCAAAAATACTCGTATGTTCGATAGCATGACTTCCTCCAGTTTTTTACAAATACCGTTACATAACTCTGTGATAAATAGTGCTTCAGTTGTTTCATTCAATTACACGCATCAAACGAACAATTTAGGAGTCCGTATATCGCGGCTACTTTATTATTTATAATAATTTATTATCTATCACCAATTTTAAATTTTGTTTGTATCTAGACGACAACAAACGATTAACTCCATTTTCACTAATTTATATTAATTTCACCCAGACGCCGAGAACCGGAGGAATGGTGGTCTAAAAATGCAACCGTAGAAGACTGGTTTGACGAGATGGTCGGGCAAGCCAACATCATCAACAGATTCAGTAGAGTCAGAATGGAAGATTTCAGGTAAATTATTTTTGGATTAAAAACGTCTTACTAGTTAGACTAAACGTCTCGGGTTTTTGAAATGAAAATAAGCTGCTTTGTGTATTATCCACATTACAATCCTGAGTCCTGAAAGTGAGGAGTCATAGTCATTCATATTCATTTAATCGCCTTACTTCAAGGAGCTAATCCATTTTAGTGGTCTCCAATGGTTACACGTACACTTGCAAATTAATGTAAATTATTCGCATATAGGTAGTACTGCATTAATATTCAATATTCAAAATTATGGATGCTTATCGTTATTCTTAATTGCATAACATTTCACAACAAAGCAATGTCGTGATCGTGAATTTCCGATACAATGGCAACATTGGCAACTAATGTAGTTTAAAACATGCATAATGTTTTTTACTTTCTTCAATAATCTTATTAGTTAAAATTATTTTTAGAGGGCTTCGCGCACCGTTCCTGTCCGTCGGATGGAACCGACAATTCCTGATGATGCAGGAGTTTGGCTTCGTTTACGACGCCACTGTGGTGGCGCCACCTATCAACCCGCCGTACTGGCCCTACACGCTTGACTACAAGATGCCCCACAGATGTGCCGGTATTTTCTATACTATGTATTCTAATTATACTTACTTATACTTAGTTTGCTATGCCACCATCAACAATGCCGGATGCAATTGGTTAAGTAGGGCATCACGTCTTGGAGGGCTAATAGTTCATAAAAACTATTTCGTTTACATTTTACCTACATACGAAAGCTCGTAAATTCGAGCAAAAAACATCGTAATCACCTTGGGGTTGTTCTTATAATGCATAATCTCTGAAAGTACGTAGTTTGCTTGAGGCGATTACCTCAGCAACATACGAGTATTAAGATTTCTCCCGCAAAAGCGTGCTATAATGTTCTTTCTCCGGCTTTCATTTGTAGCTATTTTCATGCTAGAATTAAAGCTCACTCAACAGCTATCAGTGTTAATTTTGTGATTTTATGCATAATAGCTGCATCTAATCCAATAATTCATTCAGCGCGATTCGATTAGAATAGACACGACTACATCATAATAGCTATCAGCAGCTTTCAACCAGTGAAAGCATTTTCAGAATCGGAGGAGGTAATAATGTTAGTTCAAATAAGTGCAAAAACATATAAATACCTACTAATTAATTATTAAAATATAGCATTGAGCTTGCAAAAGGATTCCAGTCTTAAGATCCTTAATTCGAAACTACTGCTTTTGTGCAAAGTGGTTGATATAACTTGATAAATTGATTTGAAGAAGAAATGGATTTTTACGTGTCGGTCTGACAACATTTTTTGCGAGATTTACAAGGGGCCATCCATAAAGTACGTCACACGAATTTCATGATTTTTTGACCCCCCCTCCGTCCTTGTCACAGGTGGTCACATTTCTGAGACCCCCCCCTCCCTAGTGTGACGTCACATGTTTTGCAATTTCACATCGAAAAATTATTAAATTAACAGCAGTTCCGAAATTAGTTTTATTTCCATTTAAATTAAGCACTTTTTTTTATGAAATCAACATTATATCAAAAATTTGAAACAATTGAAATGTGATGTCACAAAACTTAGGACCCCTCCCACCCCTTGTCACACCATGTCACACTTTGTCAACCCCCTCCCCCCCTCTTTACGTGTGACGTACTTTATGGATGACCCCCAAGTAATCGTCCTCTATATTCAGGTCATTTACAAATGACCTGAATATAGAGGACGATTACTTGTAAATCTCGCAATTACATTACAATGTACATTACAATGTATCTGCGGATCTACACCGTTATGAAGTTAAATAATTGGCTAATTAGCGCATAAATAAGTGGAGCGTGTGACTGATGATGAAGTAAGATGCGAGGCCGATGCCTCGGAGACAATATTGCACCATTGCAGATGCGCTATTGTTAACGCCAGTGACATAACGCACGCACAAGAATGCGGTAGATAGTAATTTCGCAGTTAAAAGTCAATTTGTATTAATTTTATGATCATAACAGTATTGTTCTGCGCCGAAATACTTGGCATGCACACTTTTGTAGCTAACGGTATTTAATTTTAATAAAAATGTATTATAACCGAAACGAAAGCAGGCCAGACGTTTTATGACGACCTACTAAACTAAAGGACATCATGCACGTTTCATATATTTTTGGTCCAAAATCAAAAGTGCCGGCCAACAAAAAAAAGTGCTGTATTCTGACAGAATACGTCTGCCTTAGCATTTGTTACTATGGCACCAAAGCCGTAGCTCCACTGTGCGTCGAGTATTTGAGATCTAAAAGTCATCGATTATTCATACATTTTTTGTTCAAAATCAAAAGTGTCGGCCAATAAAAAAAAAAGTTCTGACAGAATACGTCCGCCTTAGCATTTGTTACTATGGCACCAAAGCTGTAGCACCACTATGCGTCGAGTATTTGAGATCTAAAATTCATCGACGATTCATACATTTTTTGTTCAAAATCAAAAGTGTCGGCCAATAACAAAAAGTGCTGTCTTCTGACAGAATACGTCCGCCTTAGCATTTGTTACTATGGCACCAAAGCTGTAGCACCACTGTGCGTCGAGTATTTGAGATCTAAAATTCATCGACGATTCATAAATTTTTTGTTCAAAATCAAAAATGTCGGCCAATAAAAAAAAAGTGCTGTATTCTGACAGAATACGTCCGCCTTAGTATTTGTTACTATGACACCAAAGCTATAGCACCACTGTGCATCGTAGTATTTGAGATCAAAGTCAGTCGTTTCATATATTTTTAGAGCTCAAATACTACGATGCACAGTGGTGCTACAGCTTTGGTGCCATAGTAATAAATGCTAAGGCGGACGTATTCTATCAGAATACAGCACTTTTATTTTTTGGCCGGCACTTTTGATTTTGGACCAAAATGGATGATGTCCTTTTTAGATATCGATTGCCGTGAAAGCATGATTTCAATTCGTTATATTATTTTGTCTAGCCACATATTCGTGATACATTAGGCATCAGGGAGAAGCGGGTCTTCTCCCTTGTTCGTTTTGCATAATAACGTACACTGCTGGACAAGGTTTCCACAACGACCGATCCTAAGCTGTCCGCATCCATTCCCGCGACCTTCACCAGATTGTCAGTACACCTTACCCACACTACGTATTCACGCTCGACCTAATATGTCAGCATAAAATTAGCATACCAATACGTCTTCCTTTTAATCCACAGGAGACAACCAGTACTGTCCTACTAGAAGTTACGCAGGCCTCTGGGAGATGGTCATCAACCCGCTCGTGAACGGCACAGAGACCTGCGCCACCCTGGACCGATGCCCGACCAAACCGGCAAGAGATGACGTCTACAACATCCTGATGAACAACTTCAAACGTCACTACTTGACCAACCGGGCGCCATTCGGTATCCATCTAGAATCCACCTGGCTGAAGTCTAGTGATGAATATTTGATGGAATTCAAGGTATGTATGGACACAGAATACTCTATAATAAAGCTTCAACCCCAAGTGTAGCAAATATTAAAGTGTTAGAAAAAGATGTGGGTCAATCTTTAGTGGCACTGGAGGTAAAACCTATCAGTGCAGGTCTTGTAATTGCTTTCTAACCAAAATTAATAAAATATAATTGTTGATAAAATGAATAAAATTGATTAATAACATACCTAAATAATTAGTTTAGATTTATTACCTACAAAAGGCCAACTCTATAAAATGGCCATAAATACGAGTACAGTTCATTATGAACACTTATTTTACTTACTTTCAGAAATTCATTGATGAAGTTTTGAAGCTCCCAGATGTTTACTTCGTCACAAACCGACAAGCCATTGAATGGATGAAGAGACCAACTCCTGTCTTACAACTGAAGAACTTCTATCCCTGGCTGTGTGCAAGCAGAAGGCTCCTGGACTACGAAACTGCCTGTTCGAAGCCCACCACATGCAAACTACAGTCCAAAATACTTGCTCATGACAGGTACATGATAACCTGCACTGAATGTCCAAAAACATATCCATGGTTAAGAAATGAGTTTGGTGTTGAGTGACCAACAGATGCAGTTAAATTTTATATTGTTAGTTACCAGTAAATTAAATTATTTGACTTTAATTTTAAGTAGATAATGTACTTTTGTAAATTGTTTTTTACATCTCAGTATTTTTGACACATTTTCTATGTGATTTATGTAATTGACAATGTGTGCAATACATTACTAAATGTAAGACTTATTTATTATGACTACAATAAAGACTAAACTTTAATTCTGTTTTCTTTTAGCATTCTCCTGACTTTTTTAATAGTAGTCTTGTGGTCAATTAAAAAAATAAAACATACTGTTTAAGATTACTTATCATTTAGTGAACATAGTTTACAAAAAATAGTACAAGATTACTTAACATATGGAAAGGGTTATCCTTCTTGTGTGATGAATGGATTGGGTATGGCCTCCATACCATCCACAGGACAGATCAGCACTACCGAGGTACCTCTGCACACTACTAAGCCTAGTGCTCTTGTGTCATCTAGGAGCTTGTATGGATCATCGGGATCTGCAAATTGATAAAAACACATATCAATCACACTGTTCAATTTCATACAAATGCAAATGTCTCACTGACTAAAGAAACTACTAGAATTTCGACGGCCTTCAAATTTACAACTGATCACAAAGTTTATTGTCAAAGTCCATCGCGAAACATAGGCTGAGTTGCAATATCTTACTTAAACTTTAACAAATGTCCGAAATCTGTCAAATTCCATACAAAAAAAACACCAGTAATTGTTGTAGTTACGGTTAAAGTTAGGTGGTGCAACTCAGCCTAAGTGTACAACACTAATGAACCTAGCGATAGCGGCGTGGCCGCAGCACTGCTGCTGCGTTGCCTTTGCGTGGCATTTTGCAGCAATTTAAAAACCCCTTTAAAACAAAATAAACATTTCCACAAACACCAAATGAACATAGACATGTACAGTAGACAACTTGCCTCTTAGGAATTCTGTAGTATTGTCCAAGACAAGGTTCAAGAGAGGATCATAACCCTTCAGTATGCCTGCCGCTTCTCGGCCACCGGCGAATTTAACTCGAATGCTTTTCTCTAGATATTTGCTCAGGTCAAGAATAGACTCTTTTCTCCGCTTTTCTTTATTATCTCCCGCACCTTGACCAGTCTGAACAAGAAAAGAAATGATTTAACAACTTTCTATTATCAAGTGCTTTGAACCGTGGATAAAAGATAAAGTACCTTGGTTTTATCACCACCTTCTTTGGAAGCCATTGTTTTTAATATTTTTTTGTCAAACTGTGTACATAAAACGCCGTAGGTGATCCTACAAACAAAGTTTACCACCAACAACAACAAGCAACAACAAAACAAACCTTAAAAAAAATTATAGGTTATGTTGCTTGTCAAAGTCAAACTAACTTTTTCTAACCTACAAAATTGATTTTGAACTTGGACAGAAATAATTTGGCCAGACTTCGGATTTCGGTATTGCTATTTAAAAGAGTCTAAATAGTACGATTAGTATCAATAAAACTAAAAATCTGAGCCCCGATTACGGTAATTTTTAACGTTTCCAAGACGCGCTTCATCGATTCTGCGATACGATTGGTCAGCGTAATGATCAAAACAGCGTACGTCAGCTGTTTTGACCAATAGTATCGCAGAATCGATGAAGCGCGCCTGGATTGGAGACGTTAAAAATTACCGTAATCGGGGCTCTGGAGGATTCCGGAAATATTTCTGAATATTGAAACATTGTACACAATTTATTGATTGTTTATTTTGCACGTCGGTAAAATTATTATTTCCACTGTCTCGCAGGTAACCTTATCATAAAATCTCTCTGGATTCATCCTCTGCTTCTATGTATAAATAATCTTGGATAAATTAGCGTACGCACAACAAGCCGCACGACTACAGTAAAAACATTATAGCCTGACCAGGAACATAAAAACCCTGGCATAGAGGCGCGTCAATCGCATTTGATAGTGCAACACTGAGTACAGTCGTACGTGTGTTAAATCATAGAGAAAAGTAATACATAGGAAACTAACTTTNTAAAGTTTGTTTACACTTTGACAGCAATAGACTGACATGCAAGGTGACATGTCAATGAAGTTTTCAGTTACTGTTGCCATTAAAAGAAATTAGTATAGTTCCAAAATACTGGATTGTCCTGTCGATGACATTGACAGTGGGGCGCCACCGTCAATACCGGATCGCTGGTTCAGATTTTTGCCATGTTGGAAACCATATAGTTGAACGATGGTAGCGCCCCCCTGTCATTGAGTTTGGCGGGACAGTTCAGCGTGGGTCATCTATACCATTAGTTTTCCGCAACATGGCGAGGGTTTTTATGTTCCTGGTCAGGCTATACATACGAGGGCGGCACTGAAAATTTCGGGAATCAAGGAAGTGAAACAACATTACTATTTAAACATGTATTTATTGCTTTTTAAAGTATTCTCCGCGAAATTTGACACATTTTTCCATACACGAAACCAAGCATTGAAGCAACCATTGCATTCGGAAGTTTGGGTCTCCAAAATGGCCGTTTTGTAGGCTTCCACAGCTTCTTCAGGTGATGAAAATCTCTGACCACGCAATTTATTCTTTATTTAAGGGAAAGTATAGAAATCATTAGGGCTTAGGTCGAGG